GCAAAACGCAAAGAACTTTTCACAGTTTTTCCCTCCAAACTAACTGACTGAGTTGAGTAAAGCTGTTGGATGCAGGTAATGTTAACTAAAAGATGACTAGCTAATATCAATACTGAAACTTAAGCTTAACAAGTAGCTTGTAGGCCACCGATGTTAGTGTCTATTTTCAGCTACGTACATTCATTTTGCCCCCAAAAAAGTCGACCCCCCTCCCCCGCGTCACACGCGTCTTCAACCAGACAGCCATTTGTGATCCATAGGGGGGCGCAGAAAATATTTGGAAACCACTGGGGGGGCGCAGAAGAAAAAGTTTGGGAACCACTGCATTAGATGTTGAAAATGTTTTTAAATATTTTTTATCTAAGTTTTCATATCACAAAAACTTGCCATTTAAACGGGATGATTGAAATAAATGAAAACAATAGGAAGTTATTAGCTTTGATTAAATTAATTAACGGGCAACAAAACCTGAATTTTCACTAACGGATTAGCCAATCAGACACCAGAGATGATGAATGGAAAATTTACAGGCCAACTGATTGGACCCAACTGTGTTTTCCAGTGCAATTCTTTGTAAAGCTAAAAACAACAACTACTGCAGGAACTTACAATGAAACATAGTCAGTAACCCACCAAAAGTGATACCTAATTAAACGCACATCATTGATGCCATAAGGAAATAGTCAGAAAGGATTTACCTCTACTGGTCTCGAGAGGTTTGACCCTGCCATGAGTGAGTAGTGTTAATTGATATACATGACCAGTCTATTAGGACCACAATGCGAATTTCAATCCAAACAGCACACAAGGGCCTTGCAGCGGACTTCTTACACAACCAAATTAGGAAAACATAGGCTGAGAGAGAACTGGGCAACAGGGGGGCTAAGAGGCTTATGAGCCCCTTGTCAGATATTCTTCTTCTCCCTGAGGATCACAGATGGAAGGGAGTCTGGAGAAGCAGCCACACCAGAGTGGGGACGAATCCCACCTCTGATGTCTTTCTCTGGACAGCAGAAGGCAGGGGAGGGTGGGGAGCGAGTCCTGTTGCGCATGGCTTGATTTGATCTTAATGTGAGACATAAAAAGGAGGAGCTTTGGCAACAAGGGGTGTGTGTGTGGAGGAGACAGAGGGGATGAGGGGAAGTTGTTTCAACTATCAATGCAATCACAGTTAATCCTGAAGATTTAAACACAGACACCTGGCTGGATGGGGAGTAACAGATGTAAAAGTCCCAGGACGGTGTCTGTACAAAATCCCCGTCCCTCCGGATCCTGCCTTCTATCAAAGGTTTAATTGAAAAGACTGATCTCCATATTGCTCTTTGTATTGTTGCTAACGGCAACGCAGCCGTGAAACAGCTGAGCGAGGTTGCTATTTGAGGAGCTCAGAGTTTATACCTACAATCAAAGGGTCAGTCAGAGCAAATAATAGCCAAGTGATATGAATACAACTGCTGCGAAGTGAAAGGAAGTGCGGGCTGACACAGTCCCCAGCCAATTACATTCAGTGGAAAGTCAGTCACTAAGCCTTATTGTATTGACCACAAGAGATTGTGTGGTGCCGGCTCTGTGTTGAAAGAATTCAGAGATCTTATCTGTGCTTGTATCAGATTTACAAAGGAGTTTGGGTTATCCACGGCCCCGAGCTCAACACTAGCTGCTATTTTTTAATACTGACTAGTGAAAGACATCTTAGCTCACCCACAATTTTTAGACTGCAGTTTTTTTTTTTTCAATTCTACAAAAGAACATGTTTTGTATTTTGATTGTTTCTGGATGTGTTTGAATATGTCATATGACTCAAACAAAAACATCTGAGAAAACCAGACTGAAGCAATTCAAACTATGGGACACAGAATAAATGAAAAAAAAAAAGGGGGGGGGGAATCGTTTGATAAAATTAACCGCAAACACAACCTGCCCTGTGCTTATTGTGCATGCCCTGTTAGACTATTGCTTTTCTTTCAGTGCTAACAAAACAAATTTGGTGCATGCCGATAATAATCTGGCATCCTCTGGACGCAAAAAGTTAGCACTCCTTACAGCAATCCCACACCGATGGCAGAGCAACATTGCAGAAAGCAAAACAGTCAGACCAGGAAAAGGTCTGACATGTTATGACTGCTGCTATTATTTAGCTCAATCAGATACAGCAGCTGACATAATAAGAGTAGAAAACACACCTCCCCGCTAGATCCTGATTTGAAAAGGTGTGTTATTTTTGTACGATTACTCAAGCCTGTTGTGGAGACACCAAAAATATGTCTGCACAGTAAAAGTCCAGCAGAGATTTGTTAATCAGTCTCAATACTGTGCAGATTAGCAGAAATCCCTGCCCTTATTGTTCTGCTGAAGCCAAATCTCCTTTTCAAAAATACAGGTCAGTTAGAGCATCTTATTTGGCTCGTATAGTCTCTCCACAATGCCCGGCGTTGTCAGTCATGATATATTCCCTTGGCCTCCTGTCAACATGCATAAGTCTCAACAGTGCTGTCAAAACAGCAGGACTGTCTCTGCTGAGAGCGTTTGTAAAGTGAGCAGTTGGGCGATTGCTTCCTTGGGAGAATCACAGCATCCTGCGATCCTACATGGCCTCTGGCCTATCTGCTACCCAGAGCTTTTTACAGCTGTCTTAAGGATGTCACTGATCAGTCTCGACTCCAAAAGAAATGTTAGTGGAATATGTAATGTTCAAATTCCACTGTGGTTGTCCTAAATAGCATATTTTGGAGGTCTAAGAATAAATAAAAGTAATTTTATGCATAATAATCTTTGTGGCTTTTTCTTGTTTGATACTATTGTAGAAATAGATCCAAGATCTGTTCATTGTCTTACACTAAGCAAAACCTTAATTGAATCTCAATCCATTAAGCCATTATCTTTAGCTCACTCTTGATCAGATCATGATGGTAGCAGGTCCAACATGCAGTTAAATACTCTCCATCTCAGGCTGAGCATGTCCAGGCCAGAAGAGATACATAGTCTCTGCAGTGAGTTCTGCGTCTGCCAATTATTAGCTCAGGTGCCAGAAAAAAACCTCCAAAGTGAAGCACCCAAGAGACATCTTGACTGGATGCCCGAACAACCTCTGCTGACTCCTTTTGATGCAAAAGAACAGCAGCTCTATTCCCAGCTCTCCCCCAGAACACGGAGCTGCTCACCCCATCTCTAAGGGTGAGCCCAGCCACCTGACAGAGAAAGCTTATTTCAGCTGCTTGTATCCAGGACTTTGTTCTCTTTCTCAAGATCCATTTTACCATCTGTGAGGTCAAGGACAGAGATGAACCAGTAAGTTGGGAGCTTTGCATGTGGCTCAGCAGACTGGAACAGCACCCACCTTACCGCAGACGAGGTCTCAGTCTGTCTTCCCATTTTCTTATTTCCTTCTCCATTCTACCATCACTCAAGGATAAGACACCAAGATACCCTCATCTCAGGCACCTTGCACTCGGCTGCAAACTACTCCAGAGAACAGTAAAGACGGTCACGATCTAAACATGCCAAGAGAACCGCATCATCTGCCAAAATCAAAGATGAGACCCTGAAGTTCCAAAACCTGAGGCCCTCCTCTCCAAAACTATGTCCTTGGAATCTGTCTAAGAAAACCAAAAACACAAGTGGAATATTAGAAGTGTTCTAATATATTTCACCAAGAGGTTGATGAATGAAGTTTTGATGTTTATGTATCTGCATACCTCATTATCAGTTCAGTTGCTCAGTAGTTGTCTCCTTAGAGATTTCTTCTGTTTTTTTGCTTGTTATACTTAAATGTTTCAGGTCCTCAAGCTAAATTTCCTATCAAACAGGGTGTAAATACAAAAATTGACTGTCACTTGTGTAAAACATAAATTGAATATGATTAAATAAGTTTTTGAGGACTTAAGTTAGGCCTGTTGACTGTTGGAAACCAAAAATCTCTTCAAAAAACTGTTCAACAGCATTAAATATACTAATAGATCTAAAAAAAAATTGTTAATACTGTTCTTTTGTAAACACATTAAAGAACAAATGAGAAACAATAATTGACAAGCCCCGTGCGTGCCAGAAAACCACAGTGTCAGCTGTGATCCACAGGAGACTAAAATACATTTTTTGTCCATTGATGTGAGAGAGGGGTGCAGATTTTATGGAAGATGCGTGTCGCAGTACATTTGGGGTACAACTAACAACATTTCAGAAAAAGAACATCATTCTGACTGTAAAACATGGAGGTGTTAAGTGTGTTGGAGGTTACTTTAGGGCCTGAGTGACATGCCTAGTTGATGACTCATACATTCTGTTCTTTACAAGAATATTATGGACAACAATGTCTGGACATGAGCTGACCTTCAGCTCAAAGAAACTTGGGCTACTCCAAATGATCCTAAGCACACCATAAAGTCTGTGAATCTCCCCGTATTTTATATTTTCTTGTGTTTTCTAAAATTCCTGTTTCAAAATAGGCATATTTTACTTTAAAAGCAAGGTATTTGACATCGATATTTATTCTTCTTCTTAGTGCCTACTTTACCTACTTCATTAAAAATAATTTACTACAAACAACAACAATAATAAAACATTTTCTGGGCGAATATCCCAAATCAAAACGTTTTTCTTAAATCGAATTGTTCTGAAATCCTCTAAAAAAAAAATTCAATGTTGTTTTTTTAACCTATTAATGAACTCTCTATAAAATAAACACAGATTACCGAAATCTTTTAAGCACTAAACGAAAATGACTATTTTCTGTGCAAAACCTGAAGTGAGAAGCCACTTTTAAGCCCTGACTAGATTCCAGGAATTGCCACGAACGCATAAACTCAACATAATTTAAAGCAAATATTGATAAACTTGCAGCAGCAGCTGTTAACTTACAGATATCTGTGGATCTTTTCTGATTATAGCTCAACGCTGAGTGTGACCATGCAGTCACAATAACAATTCCAGCTTCCCCTTGACAGCTTCCTGAAACAGCAAAGTAACAAACAAGATTGTCATTGGTCGACCTGCCCCGGACTTTTCTTTGATTGGATAACATGCTCCACAACATTGACGTCATCAGTAGCAATATGGCAGCTCCCATGAACAGTGTGGGTAAAACCTCAGCTGACCGTTTACAGGCTAATTGTACGAGCTTTCAGAAGAAAACAAGGAGTAAATTGATCTCTATACCCGGGACGAGACCTTCGGTCCAAAACGGACAGCTCTTAGTTTCGACCGGTGTCACGTCGCTGGACTACCTGCTCGGTCAGTGTCCCGCTGCTGCACAGGCTAAAAGCCGTTATAATGCAATGTTGGGCAGAGTGAATATACTCAACTGCAAACAAACCTTCACATTTTCAACACATCACAAGTTAAAAGCATTAATATGGATCTTTGTCGGAACCAAAATTGCTCGTATTGCATTATCCCTATCTCTTGCAGAGCTTTTTTTTTTTTAATAAAAAAAAAAAGGTTTCATTGTGGTATTTCTCTCGCCAAACTAGTGTCATGAAATATTTTTTAAAACCCTTCTTATGGAGGTTTTTATACATACATAGATAGATAATTTATTAGTCTCCCATAGGAGAAATTTATCCTGGAAGCAGGGCCAAAAACTGCAGTACAACAATAAAACGGACATAATAAAAACAACAACAACAATAAAAGTACATAAAACCACAAATGTCAGGTGCTATACTGTTGAATAATATAATCAAGACGCCATCCAGTCCCTCACTTTTATATAATTTTTTGGCGACAACAATATTCGTGTATATATAAAGATATTATAATACTGTTATATTTTCTTTCCCTACAGGTGGTGGATTAGCAGTTGGTACAGTGCTTCTCATTGGTGAGTCTTTCTCTTTACATTTTTCAAGTAGCCAGTGTGTTGTCTACAGTCTACACATTGTGTTTCTTATTCCTGGAAACAATGCGTACTTTTTAACCTGTTGTAGATTTAAAAAAAAAACATTTTTAGCTTTGTTCAAGGCATTTAAAAAAGATAAAACCTTCACTTAGCACTTCAAATAAACATGAGCTATAAATGTGTTTGTCTTTGGATTGTTAAGTATTTGCAATAATTTATATAGATTTTTTTTAGCTGGAAGTGAAATAGGCTACTCACACCAAAGAAGGAACAGAGTGTAAATAGAAATATCCTTTACTGTACAACAGTAGAAAAATTTAGGATCTCTGTCCGTATCTGAAATGTTAAAAATTACATTTATGCCTTAATGTGTATCTTAATTCATTTTATATGGTAGACCAACATTGTGAAGGACATACAAGTAAAATGGGAAAATATACATGATTTTATTTTTTTTAACCAGGGAAACATATAAAGTGCTGCTTGCATTTGTTTTGAAGTCCACTGAATAAATGTTTTGTAGAACGTAATCTCACTGTAGTGGAAGTAGGAAGACTTTTATATCTACAGACTGAAATTTTTAATGTCAACTCTCCAGTTTGCAGGTATTAACACATATTTTAATATTAATATCAAGTGAAATTAGGTCTGGACCTTGGACTATTCTAAACTTTGGAACTAGTTGAATGAATCTATTATCATTGCAAATAATGCCATTTCACTGCTTACACATTATTCAAGTAAACGAGTTCTCAAGTGACAATATCCTGCAGAACCTCTGCAGAATTTTAACATGTTGAGGAGGGGGTTAGACCATATGAGTCAGGTGTGTTGGTGCAGACACATTTAAAACCGTAATGACACTGAGAAGCAAAGACTGGAGCTGGACATACATTAAGTAGACATTATGTTGTTTGTTCAAGTTTCATCCTGGCCCTTTGTGTTACACTTGGTTGTTTGCAAAGAGTTTTATGACTAAGGTTTGATAGATCCTTATAGTAAAGTGTCTATCCCAGACAGAAGATATGCACATTAGTACATGAACAATTTGCTAATTTGAGGATGAAAACACATGGAGTTCAATAGAAATTCGAAATCATAAGAAAAAATGTAATATTTCATAATTCAGCAAATGTATAAGAATGGATTTCTTATCCATTTTTGATAAGAAACCCGAGAATGGGTAGGAAAAGCATTGACATTTGTTAGTTTGAACAGGGTTATAAAGTAAATTTTAAGACTTTCAGACTCCATTAAACCACAGTGAGAGGTATTAAACAATTTACAGTAAAGAAAAACGCAATAGTGGTGAAGCTGTGACTCAGCAAAAATGGTATCTAGTTAGATAATTTCAAGGCAAAACCATTGCTTTCCAAATAACTTAAAGATTTCTTTAAGTGACATGTGATGCAACCGTCACAGGTTCAAGTCCTGGCCTTATGACCTTTGCCGCTTGTCTTCCCCCTCTTTCACGACCCGCTTTCCTGTCATTTCATCATCAAATTAAGACCATTAGACCCAAAAAATAAAAATAAAAAACAAACAAAAAAAACATTTGCCATCAAAACCATCTTGATGATCCCCAAACTCTTTGGGAAAATATTCTGTACACTGATGCTACAAAAGTAGAACATTTCGGAAGTCGTGTGTTCCATTACATTTGGCACAAAGGTAACACAGCTTTTAGAAAAAGAACATCAGACTTACTGAAAAGCATGATGGTAATGGCAGTGTCGTGGTTAGAGCATGCTTTGCTACATCTGGACCTGCATGGCTTTACGTAATCAACAAAACCATAAATTCTTAATATTGTGAAGAAGAGTGTTTGACAACAAGTTTGTGATCTTAAACTTTGGCCCCTTAAGTCATTTGGCATACCAGTGATCGGAAGCACATCAGCAAGTCCACCTCTTTGTGGCTAAAAAAAAAGATAATAGGACAACAAATGGGTTTTGGAATGATTTAGTCAAAAATCTCATGAAGATGCTGTTGGATCCTCTTAAACAGAATGTTCAGGGCCAAAACCCTCCATTGTCATCGACAACAGCAGAAAACAGGGGACAAACAATTTCCACCAGTTACTGCAAATGCTTGATGGCAGATGTTGATCCAAGAGTGACACAACCTGTTATAAGGGGGCAATTACTTTTTCATATTGTTTGAAGTGCTTTCTACTCTCCTTTTAGTAGCCCCTTATAGCTACTAAAGGGGCTACTTTGATTTGATAATCAAAGTTATCAAATGAATACTTTGATAAGTATTCATTTTCATAAAAGTCTTTAAAACCTCAGCAACACATTGGCTCAATTCCTACAACCTAAATTGGCAACGATTTAGGAATCATCCACAGGCTCTGCGGTAAGTGTGTTACTCTCAAGCAGACTGACAAATGGACTAATAAGCTGAAGGTCTCCCGTTAGAATCCCAGGTGTTCACACTTTTCGGTTGCTTCTTCATTAATATGCTCCTCTGCAGATGTTTTATAGAAGTTTTCAGAATAACATAAATCGCAAGTGGGTTTTCTAGGGGCTTAAATGTCTTCCACTGTGTTATTATTATTATTATTATTATCATTCATTGTAGGCTAGGCTATATGCACTGGTGGACAGTGAGGTTAAGGTAGTCATGTTTCCCCTTGAAGCTGTAATTTGTGTGTAGCCAAGGCCTATACCAACTGATGATATTGCTTTGCCCTTTAATTCATCCCCCCAATCGATGCAGGAGTCAGTGATTACACACTAATGCGTTCTTCCCTTCCATTTTGTGAATCAATGTACGGTTGGTTTCATCTGGTAATGAGAGACACAGTAAAGGTGAAATGCGTGTGTGTGTGCGTTGAGCACTCTCTTGTGTTTGTCTCTGAAAGAGTGGCATATGTGCACAATGTGTGTGTGTGTGTGTGTTTTCTGGGTGGAGTGGGGCGGAGTGTGGGGAGTTTGGACTGTGTGTTTGTTTGTGTTGTGTCGTCTGCTGCAGTCTGCCCCTTTAGCTGTGATGGCCTGTTTGTGAGACACAGACATAAAATTATCAGACTGGTCATTGTCTGCCTTTGAAGTGTCTTGAGCTGTCTGTCCTGATTTGTCACCCAGAGGGGGGATCTCTTCAGTATGGCCACTGTCTAAGGATCTCTTGTGTTTCTGCAAGTGGAGAAACAAAGCTGCCTAGTCTGTATTATGTTGACCATTTATGGTTTTGTTCCTTTGTTAGATTAATGCTTCTTTGATTTAAATGTCACCTTATTCAGTGACTTCAAACTGTTTTGCGTTATTTTATTTCAGTTCTATGAGCAACACAGAGATGGCTTACAGATTGTTTAGCAGTGTACGGACATAAACAAAAGGATTTGCAATTGTTTTTTTTTAATAAATTAAATGTTAGTTTTAATTACAAATTCACCAATCAGGTGTTTTCTAATCTAATTTTCCGATTCTGATTTAGACATATTGCTGTTTTTTCCCCAAGGGTTAAAATGCATAAAAAAAGAGAAGCAATTCCGAATATTGCTTCTCTCATTCGGAAGGGAATAAGAGAAGCTGGATTCAAAACTACTGGTTTTGAATCCAGCTTCAAAACCAGTAGTTTTGAAGCTGGATTCAAAACTACTGGTTTCAATAAATGAAGGAATTATAGCATTAGCTGCATATATGCACCAAAAGCATATTTCCCAAATATTTTACTTAATTTGCAAAGTGCATCAAGATAAAATTTTTGTGCTTTTGATGCACTTTTTTTGATGCCTTTATGATTTTATATTTTGATGCATTTATTTGAAAATAAAAATATAAATTCTGTTTTCTGTAAACTGTTGATTTCCAATCACATCTGATCAATGGGAATCTTTGTCAAATCTTTGTTTAAGGCTATAACTACGATTGATGACTCAGTATGAAAACAACATTTTACAAGGATGTGACAGTGAGCGCAGGTAGAGTGTGTAGTAACTAAAGGAACTGTTCAGAATTGCAGTCAGCGTATGAAATATTGGTTCATCTCAAAAAATCTTTTTTGTTGTTGTTGCTTGACAGCAGAGTAGTCCACAGCAAGCTGCTGTTATTAAGTATTGGAAAGTCCAGTTTGAATCATTGACCTCGACATTATGAAATCCCTCTTTTGTATTGAGATGGGTTGTATATTGTACTAAACTGAACTGTCTGGGTAACTTTTGTTGAGAGTTAAGTCTGTCGAAATAAACATTACTGAAGTGAAACTGGATTAGCAGAGTTTATAGTGGGAACATTTTGTAAAATGTATTTCTAATTGTTTTTTATTCCCTTCACTTTTTTATACTGTAACTTAAAGATAATATCTCATGGACCTAAGACATATAAGAGGAAAACATCTGACCTAGATCTTTTGTCTCTTTGCCCTGCAGCTCTAGCAGATATGATTCATGAGACTTGCACTCCCACTTCCTTGTCTGAAGGCAAATGAAGCACAGACATCCTGCTTTTATGCAACCTTAGTCAGAAAAGAGCAAAAAAAGAAGCAAAATAGTGAATGGAATCATCCTATGACTGTCCAGAGTGACCGATCTACCTCAAAGACACAACCGCCCCCCACCCCCTGTTGCTCCTACACCCCACCACCTCCAGCCCCCTCCTCATACCCCCTGCCTCAACAGCCTAATGACTCCTGGAGGTTTCATTTGTAAGGCTCCCATAGAAACACAACCACAATAGGCCCCATCTTGAGAGGGCCCATCTGGGAGTCTTTGTGGGGCCTGCTGAAAGCCACAAAGGCCTGCTGACCTAAAAACCCATCAATAAGAGAACAGGGAGCCCCGCCGACAACAAATTGAAGAGCCGTGGAATTTCCTGGGCCATCCGAAGTCCGTAGGTGAGGACGCGGCTCGGGGAACATGGGAGGGAGGTTGGGGAAATTCTCCAAATGTCCGAGGATGACGCATCAGGATGTCATTCCCAAGCTGTCAGCTGTATGCCCATTGCCTCAGCTGTCACTGCCGTCTTTGTCCGTGTGCCCACTGTTTGCCATTGTGAGGAAAGGCCTATGGAATCTTAACAAAATGGTGACGGTGACAGGAAACACCAGTGGCATACTGGGTAGAGCTATGTGCCCTCCTCTGTTGACTATAATAGTGATGATGCTGATGAGGGGGTTGGAGGGTTGTCATGTTGAAAGCCTGCAATATACAAAGACTACCTTTGTGTGGGTAATTTTTTTTACATTTATAGGATTTTACCTCTTCTTTTAATGGCTCAGACACACTTCTTACATGGTGTCATGTGATTTCTTCTGGGATTTGCCTTCTAAAAATATAACTTTCTCTGAAGTTCAAGAAGAGTTTATGTGAATGACCCTCATAGTACAGAGGTGAAAAGGATGCCACTGCCATTAGAATCCAACCAAAAATGGAGAGATTCAAAGCAACCAGGTGTCAGGAACTGTTTTGATGACAACTGCCATCTTCCTCACACTCTTTCTCTTCTTGGCAGTTGCCCTGACCACCAAGGTATCTTTCTGTTGTGCGGGAAGAGCCAGGTAAATGCTTAAGGCAGGTGTCTTCCACTTGCCCTTACCTTTGCGCTGCCAGTTTGGGACATGATTGGTGAAAGTGGACAGGGATACTGTAATATTTTGTCATGCAGGGTGAAGATGTGAATTTTTACATTGATAGTCAAACCTCGGTGTAAAAACTACACCCATGTGCCATGTCGATTGCTACGTCATGTGTTGCCTGCAAAAGGCAGGTAGAAGGTGTCGTTACATCGATTACAGTTAGGAGCGCTGATGTGGGCATGAACTGCTGGACTTAGGCTGAGGTGTTCAGAATAATAAAGAGGAAGACTACGTGACCCGATTAAGCTATTTATGTTTTTCTTTGACTTTGTTCACTGTGTCATTCTCGTGTGATAATCTGATGGTTCTTGTCTTTGTTTCTCTGTCAGAGGAGGACCGATTTGACAGCTACTCCCGCATGATCTTGAAGTACTTTCTGGCAGAGGGAGTGGTGTGTCGGCATGAACTTTTTGTGGCAACAGCTCAAGATAACCCTGATGAAATCCTACAGGTAGGAGATGAGACGCTATGCTTTTTTTAAATGAAGTTTCTGACCCTGCAAAGTTTTTTCTATAAGATACAAGACTAGCTGTTTTTTTTTTAATTTTTTTTTTTTATATAACAGTACAACTTGCAAAATCCACATTGTTTAACGTTTACTCAAGTAAAGATCTCGGAGACTACTTCTTGAGTATTTTCTTTCAGAGCTGCAGCTCTTTCCAACATGTGTCAGGGTCAACAGGGGTATTTGAGAGGTCGAGAGTGGTATGGTTCTGGCATTGTTGAAATGTTTCCCGGCATATCAATCCATGAACAGGACCATAGTTTGCAGAAGCTGCCTGCCAATCAGCAAAGAGGAGGGGTGCTTCTCTCCCTCTGATTGATAGTGGGAGGGTTCATCGGCTCACCCTCTCTTTGCATATCAAAGACTTATTAAGAGAGGGGTAGTCCCGCTGGGGACATATCAAATTATTTAGTATTTTCCACTGTTGTGTTTGCGGCATGGTAATCTCCAGATGCTAAACTTGCACTATGTATTACATTAGCATGAACAAAGATGCATGTTCACAACTCCTATGGATGTAAAGTTGCACTGTGGCAGTTTCATGTGACATTTGCTCAAAGAACAGATTTCCTGTAAATTTCTTAAGAGCTTTTTATGTTTTCAACTTTATTTTGTTTGTTATACAGATAAGAAAACATTATTTACTCATCCTCTCCACAGACTTTTGTTTTTGTAAAGTTTTAGGAGAAAAGAAACACACACACGCCAAGTACTTTAAAGAAGTAAAAAGTATACATTTACTTTAAAGAAGTAAATGTGTATTTCTTTTATGGATGTACATTTATAGATAATTTCTAACAAATTCAACTTGTTTTGGGTTAGAAATATTTGATCCACTTTGTGTGCATTTTTCATGTCCTTCAGTACAACAGTACACATTTTATAGTTGAAGAGGAAATCTGGGTTAATTTTTTTAGAAGTATGGCTTAAAAATTGAATTTATTTTCCTTGACTTGATTGTAGGTCTGATTAGGATTAGAACTGAACCATTCAATCTAATCCAGTTCTCTTCTTATTGAACTATCCAATGGAATGTTTCTCTACAATCGGATAATATATAAATTCAGCATTGTACAAGTGTATATTTCATGTTTCATTATCGTTTCAAAGCCATTTTTACCCTTCTTTTAATACAAAATAACTCTTTCATCTGTGTCATCAAAATTCTAAAAAAAAAAATAGTAAGATTAAGAAAATCAGATGGAGAAAATTAATAAACGTTGCTGTCTTTATCATGCGACTGTCAAAATAATTTGTTTTTTGGGTCTGTCTGATGTTTGAAAAGTTTAAACTTTCAAGGTGTTTTATGTTTGCCAATGTCATATTCTGATTAGACATCATTTTTCATGTACATGATTTGTTTAGGAGCTTCCAGCCCCTATCTTGGATGATGTTGCTGTTCCTAAACCCGTGGAGCAGCCCAGACCGACTGGTGAACCCCAGGACAGCTTGGATGCCATGACGATAGCCTGGCGCTATCAGAACCTGCCTAAAGTACAGGTGATCGATCAGCGGGTCCTCTGTAATGCAACTGTTTTTACCTATACAGTCCATCAGAGGCAATTTTTAAATCTTTATTTGGTGAAAGTTCAACATGTGTCTCTCTTAATGATAGGATGAGAATGCACGGTACTGGAATCGCTGCTTTTAGTCCTTTGACAATGGTCTCGACCACTAAATCCATCTACCTCTAAACTCCTTTGTGGAGTGAATGAGGCCTCGGCCTCTCTTTTCAGAGCTGCAGCAGATTACTCACACTTAGCTGGCAATAGGTAGGCTTTTCACTGTTCTCCCAGTTCACATACACACACACATACACACACACGCTCGCACCCCTGCTTAGCCTGGGAAACAAGAGTACTATGCAGGCAGCACATTGACATGTCTGCTCGCTCAACCCTACGACCCAGACCTGCGCCTCCGTCTTCCCCCAAATCCCTGCCTTTCCCCCTGCTAGGGTCGGCAGCTCTACACTCTTTCTTCCGCTTTAAGGAGAGGAGACCCTCCCCTTCTTCTTCTTCTTCTTCTTCTTCTCTGCAGTCCACCCCCGTTGGTCTATAATCCATATCGCTATGTGGATTAGCAGAACACAGTGTGTCCCTAGGGATCCTCTCCCTCTTTCTCTCTCCCTGGAAACTTCTTTATATCTGTGTCCTTTCCTCACCTCTCCCCCCTTCCCCTGTAAAATCGTCTTTACAAACCGCTAGTAAGCCCCGCCAGAGGATTTGCATCCCAAATTCACCCCGAGAGTCAACGCTTACTTTCCCCTTACACACACCTCTCCTGGCACGGCCCACTGTGTCGTTCTCTTGATGAAGACATCAGATCAAAGGTGAGGCCGTCAGGGCGGGGATGGAACGCTAAGCGGGTTGCCTGGTTCACAAAGAGAAGATGAGCCCCTGACCCCCCCCACTGCCCCTTCTGACCCCCGCGTTCTGACGGGAGAGGGACACACCGGGGGCCCTAATCCAGATTAGGAGTAGATTAAGGGCCCCTCTCACAATGGAGTCCATGGTTTTACCGAGAAAGAAGAGCTAAAACTCTCTCTTTCAGCTGCAGGAAAACATCCGCCTTCCCCTGCTTCCCTGACATGTTCGCTTTCACAGCCAGAAGTGGACATTTATGTGAAGAAATGATTAAGAGGCTGGTCATAGTGCTTATTTAACTTCTTTGCTGTAGAAAAGTTGAGGAATGACCCATAAACAATGCAATTGCATTGCCATAGTATTGCATTTTTAGAAATACAAATAAGGTTGTTATGCTGTATGCATTGTTAGTTTTAAATATTAAAATCATACAGGCTGTTTAAAAGAATTTGAGCAAGCAGTAATGTTAGAAAAAATTACAATTCTTATCCTTGTATATCACAGAGTGCTTTGGCATCTTCCTCTCGATTCGGACACTACTATGACGTCTCAAAGACGATGGAGGCAGAGATTCGCCAAGCGGCCAAGTGCCACTGCTTCTACCTTCCAGATCACATCACCCCGTCATCAGCAGCACACAGGTAGAACAGCAAGACGTCGTCCTCAAAATGCAGGCAAAACCAATGAGACACGACCCGACGAACACAGGCGCATAAACACGACATCATCCACATAACAGGGCTGTACAAATACGACTTCCTCCGCAGAACGCATGTGAGTAAACATGGCAATGTTCGTGGAGGAACAGGTGAACCAATAATGCAGCGAGACAGAGCTGCAGAACTTAAAGAGCACATCTTGTATAAGTAAACATAGTAAACAACATGACCAGGCTGAGAAGACTGGGCTTCATTAGATGAGATTGTTTTATTCTAGTTGAATTAGTTCAGGTTTCTTCTTCACGTTATGTCGGGAAAATGTTTCGAAAGTGAACAAAAGCTAAAATCCATTTGAATTGTGTCTGAGACATGGGTATTGAATAGATGCTAAAATTATAGATGCTTGAATAAGTTATTTGGTTTCCCTGAAATGAAATGCATCAGTTAAATTTATGATGTAGATGCCACTAATCATTATTCTGGAAATCATCAAACTAATCAAACAATTCTTTCAGCTCCAATAAAATGATTTTTCTTTGACTTCAGAAAACAAAACAACATAACTGATTTTCTTCTATCATAATAACCTTCACTTTGTTGATTCAGAGTAGGAATTGATGTTATAATAATTTGCATGATCACGCATCACTTCAACTATTTTCTTCTATTCAATTTATTTAAACAATTAATCAATTACAGGTTTTTTATTGAGTTCAAATAAAACACTTATTCAAAAATGCTCCATTTATGAATAAACAATAATTACAATCAAGAATAATCACTATTTTTGCAACTAATACAAATCAGCTAAATATCCGCCTGCGTCGCCTCCTGTTTTGCGTTGTTTGCCACTGGCCGGGTTCATTCAGCCTCTTGGAAAAAGGTTGCATATGTCTATTCAAATAAGGGTCTTGTTTGCTCAGCGTCTGTTTGATTTCTCCTGCGTTGAGTGTACTTAGGGTTCAGAGGTTGCACAGGCTCTTTACCCAGAGAGTGCTGCTGAACACACACGGGCACACGAAGGCGCACTCGTTTGAACTGGGTAAATACAGCAATCTGGAGTGCAGTGGATGCTGGAGGAGGCTGTAGAGAATCCCTCATTCTTTCTATCAGCAAACAGAGACCGCTGGTAAACATGCTGCCCGTACAAACACATTAAATGTTGCAGGTATTCAGGTGAAAATGTACGTTTTTCACGAGCACGGTGCTCGAGGTAGAAAAAGTGTGGCTAGATATCATTGCACAACGTAATGATGGTTAATGTGAAGAGTGTAGGAGGAAAAATCTCCCTGGTTTGTGCAGTTTTGAGTGAAGGTGAGATAGTGGTGCTGTTGCAGAGTGTGAATGGGTTATAGATCTTACAGGCATTTTGACAGCTGGAAGCTACACCTGCACAGCACCATTGTGCCCCAAGGCCCGCCCAAGTACTGACAAGAATACAGGCACACACATTCGGTGCATATCTTGCACGCTCGTGTAACACACAAACTCGAAAGCAAGCTACTCCCCCTTGCACGTGTCCGCTGCCCCATGTTGATACCCTAGCTGTTAAATTGCTCCGTTTCACTTGAAGGCATAATTGGCACAAATTGCTCTCTAGGTGATACAGATCCTGTTGTTTAAGACCAAGCATCCCCCTTCCCTCACTCTTTCTTCCCTTGCTGAAAGAGGAACGCTGAGATAAAGACGCTTCCTGGTGCATGATCCTAATTAGCCGACACGCTAGCCCCTGTAGCTACGCACCTAGACCTCTTTGGGTACCTGAATGAGCCGTGCTCAGTAGGGGTAGCTAAAGCACAATGCTGGTCTCCACAATGGCTGCCAACGAGTGGCAACCTCCTGCATGCAACTGAGCGTCAGACCGTCCCCAGCCCCCCCACCACCTCAGAGCTGGGGCATGGGCAGAGAGGCCGTGGAGGGTAGGTGTCCCTCTTTCACCAGTGCAGCTCTATCATTAGCCACAGCGGGGTCAGGAGGCACTATTGTTGAGCTGAATAACTGAAATAGAGTTCATTGATATACTTGGCCAAGTGTAATCAACACAAGTGTGTGCTTCTCTTCTTTATGTGGGGGTTTGGCGTGTGACCAACCTATGTGTATCAGCTTTTGTGGCTCTCAGGTTGAACCGACAGCTGACATAGCAGCCCACTGTGAGCTGCCACAGAGTGGTCATTACAATAGTGAGGTGTTTCTAAGTGGAGGGTCCTGTGTTAAAAGATGGGGTTAACATTATTATTGGTGATCCCATAAACTCATAAAGGGCTCAGCAGCGATCCATCCCTTGACTGTCGCTAAATGTTGCTCGACGGTACTGCATGGCTCCTGTCAGTGGTGCACATCTTACCCTTGATTAAACACCAAAATGCTGTTCTCTGTTAGTTTTAGCCTTCAGCCCATTAGTCCCTCATCTCTTCTCCGTTGTGCGCACGTTTTTGTGCATATGTGCACCTCATCTGTCTGTCTGTCTCGGCACAATCAGATCCTCGGGGAGCTGACAGTGAACCAGTCATGTTGTAATTTAATCAACCAAATAAATTAATTGGATCTCTTGATATGGATCATCTGTCTGCTTCGGTGGCTCCAGAAAAGCACAGTCAGGAGTAGCAGACTGCAGTCATTGAGGATTAGGCTTCTGCAGTGATCAGCTTGGCCCAGATTTGTCAAGATACTATTGGCGATGGATTGCACATTTTAGGTATCCCTGTTCTCGTGCAAATTCTCTGCTGTACTGTGTCAAATGTGTCTCATTCTTTCTCCAGTGCCAGAGTTGAGTCCTACTCTGCCTTACTGAAGTCACTGCAAGAGGTCATACACAGAGAGGGCTTTGATTTGGCGACCCCCATGGTAAGAACCAAACAACTGTTCTGGTTTTTGTTTCATTCAAATTGTAACACATTTATTTTCTCAAAAATGTTATTCGCCACAAACTAATTTAACATTTTGTTAGAAAGCATTCTTAGTCACTCTAGAGCTAGGAGCACAATCATCGTATTTCTTAATCACATAGACACACATCTGTTGCTTGACAGCATAAATTTGTGATGCAGAGTTTGGAATCAGGTGATTTTCTGGTTGTTGATTAATCAAATCATGCAAAATATTTTTTTTATCATCAAATACATGAATGCAAAGAACACCTGCAATTTTCAGTCTATAAACACATCATTCAACAGTATGTGCTTTAATGCACTATTTTGAGTTCAAATAGGGGTTAAGGGCATATTCTATTTTACTTTGGATTTAAACTTATTACTGTTACTAAAAACATGCTGAATTTTCTGATACTTAAAAAGCTCATTAAATAAAAAATAAATAAATAAGAAAGAGGCACTAGATTTTTATTAAAAGGAATGATACATATATAGTGAGGAATTGAGAGTCTTGTCACTGATCTCTTCATTATCCTTTGCCTTACTAATTTTGGTCTTGTTCTTCTTAGAGTCATCTCTCTGACCTTGCATTGATTCATAGCTGTAGGAGAATAGAGCAGTAATGGGCCTACTAGGAAGTTGCTAATATTAAAACTGATAATAAGAGGTTGTTCTGTACAGCATATTAAATAATTTGCCATTGCAGATGCATCAAGGTTTATAATCAGGATTTCACAAAAATGTTGATTCCTTTATCAATCTTGGCTTTTTGAAAACACTGAAAAGAAAATATGTCAAGGAATGTCAAAGAAAATATCAAATGAAATTGAAGGTCATCAGTTTCTTCAAGCTAAATTTGATCATCTTTCAATATATTTACAGAGAGTTTATATGACTGTTTTCAAATCTCAAAACTGGCATATATCCAGCTTTTAGAGACTAGCCACCACAATGCAATTACAAAATACAGATTTTTCATAATGATTTGACACATAGAAGACCGTAAAATACATGTTTTTTTTTTGTTTTGTTTTTTTAGTGGTTCTCTACATAAACAGTATCTATCCCTTGTTCACCTACTTTCTGTGAACCCTGTGCCCATCACCTGGAGCCACCTCTCCTCCTGTCACTCACACATGGGATTTTCTCCCCCCAGAGCTGTCATTCAAACACCAGATTAACTGCTGACATCATTAAAGCAGCAGGACCACCTGACACACTGTTGGCACAGTCCAGGAATGCAAACCGGCACAGAGCGACATGGGTGCTGGCACAAAATATCCCCAGTATGGACAACAGTGTGGATTGGATGATTTGCTTCTCCTTGTTGTTTCCTCAGACATTGTCAAGTATTTCAACATTTAAAGTGAACTCTGCCGAAGTGATTCATAATTGGGAATATTTTTCAGAAGAATCAAACCGGAGTCTTTCTGAGTCTCATTAGACTCCTTTCTGATTGGGTTTCGGTCCCAGACTAGTTGTAGTCTATATGGCTGGCCTCTGGTCTTTGGCTGGACCCTACTGGCAATGTTCCCTGATTTTTCTATAGGCTAAGCTATAGGAGTTAAGTTTGTCGTCGCATCCTGATGTTGCCACAGCAACAGTCGTGTTACCGCAGTGACCTCCTGCGGGGCGTCAGACACAGAAACAGATTTCTGATTCTGCTGCTCTCAAAACCTGTGTAGGAAAACATCACTGAACAAAGGAAGGGCATGTCTTATTGTGACTACACCACACGTGCAGAATGCTAATACTACAGCAGGCTGAGATACAGACTGAGAGTACGCTGTGGAGAGAAAAGAGTCTTATTGGAAACTATGAGGCAGCTTTGAAAAACCAAGTTAGACAATGGCGTTTATTTTTCTTAGATCTGTTCGATGCTGATCCTGATTTGTAAACAGTCTAGGTCAGGCAGTTGGGTGAGGAAGTTATAAGAAATTGGGCTGAGGAGATCTTAGAAGAGTTGGAGGAGGTGTAAATTATGAAAAATATTGAATAAAAAGTGAGAAGATTTTAAAGCAGGCCTTTGTTTATTGATGTTGGCTCTCACCCCAATAATCCTGAACCATCCTATTAGAAAGGCCACATGAAAGGCAATTGTATGTAAGAGTAAAACTCCCTCACAGTTTGGACAGGCTTCTACATTTTCTGTGGTGCAGTGATATATATCCTATCACAGTTTGGCCCACTTTTTTTTAAATTTTTTTTAACAAAGTTGGTTTCAGTTGATCCCTTGGGGTGGGCTGGGATGGGATGGAGTCGGGAGGGTGAAGCGGTGCGGTGGGGGGCTTAAGGCAAGGCACTCCACCCTTACCCAGGCCCCCCTTGGCTGCAGAGCATCACCGCTGTGCCAAGAATGTGCTGGGGTTTTCTGGGTGGCGGCCATATTGGAAGCCTGTCTGACAGGTCCATTGTGCATGTGTCAGATGGCTTCTGTGATTGGGCGGTTGTGTCCAGTCACGTTTGGGCTCCGTGTTCCAATCGTCTGTGCCGCTGAGCAGTCTGTCCAGTTGCTCTCACCCAACGTTTGGAAGCATGACCCACAACAGCAGCACCCAAGTTTTCAGATTAAACTGAGATCCGTGCCCTCCACTGACTTTCTGTAGTTTACGTTTTCTTCTGCAACATTTGATACATTTTCATGTTTTTGTTGTTGTTGTTTTTTATGTTTACCTAACTGCACTCCTCACCCTCTTTGCATTTCTCACAGTCAAAGTCACGTAACATCCTGCGTGTGGGGCTTCACTCTCTGGGCTCAGCTCTGTGGGGGGACGACCTGTGTTGCCATGACAAACCTAGACACAGCCACGCCCTGACTACCTTTCTGTATGGACTCCGTGCGTTGTTGAGGTCATCGCTTTCGGTTGCTGTAGTAACCTTACCATCACATCTCATCCAGGTAATATGGTGTTTGACACATACTGTCTTGTTTGTGTTACGTGCTTCTGAACTTCCACTCAGTATTGGTGTCTTAAACCATTTGGGATTTCAGCCAGAACACTGAATGCAGATTAAACTGATAAGATTAATATTGAAGTTTAACCAATGTGCTCCTTTTGTATTGCTTATGATTGACTCAGGCGCAGGTGAAGGTTTTTTTTTTTATATGAGCAATATGGCTCCCCTCCTAGGGTGTTATTCTACCAGGGGTGCCAAAAGCAATGAAAAATCAAAGTTATTTGGCAGCTTCGCTCCAAACCTGTTTGTTCTCTTAGAAAACGAGCCTCAGATTCCTGTGTCCTGCAACTTTTTGATGTATGAGAGGTCCATCACACCTGAATCAAATGGCTGGATTGCTCTCTCAACCTGCAGTCAAGTTTCTACAGACTAATGACTTGATTATTTGATTCAGGTATATTAAACAGGGATATATGCGACACTGGCTCTCAAAGACTGGAGTTTGTGATCGCTGTCTTAGACTGTTAATAGGGATGGAGTAAGGGAAAATGACAGCATACCATATCTCACTGATTAAGTTTTTTTATTTATATTTTTTTAAGGTAAATGTATTTCACATTCCTGTAGTTCAAAATCTTAAAAATCTGGCTTGGCCAATCATTAACTTAATAATTCTAAGTTGAAAAGAGATTATTTTAAACTTAGTATGGGATTTTTAAACCTGTACTTTGTTTATGAAATCAAGAAGATCTTTTTGGGCCATTTTTTGGCAATCTTTAGATGAGACAAAACCCCAAAACTGAGATTTTTCAATGATTACTTAAACTACTGTTTGAATTTGTGAATTGTTTGAAAACATGGGATTCTTGCTTTCCTTAAAAATATTGCTAAAACCTCTGGTTTCATTCTTATTAGGCTAATATTGTGCATTGTGCACCAGACCATAAAAGGACGTGACCACCCACTGCAGTGTTCATGCGATCATTTCTACTGTCCAGGTTTCACTGGGGCCCTCTCCCTATTTACATCAGTCTGTTGTCAACCTGCCGTGGTTCAGAATTCATTCAGTCTTCAAACTTTTCGATTTAGTATTATGAAATTCAACTTACTTTAAAGTCAATCACATCAAATATTTGTAGAGAAATGTATACTCTGTTCAGTCCAATCTTGCAAACAAATTCAACTTAAAGTTGCACAAAGAATTTAAACCTCTTCATGGCCTTATATGTAATGCTCGTTAAAGTTGTATATTGGTGGGGCGGAGGGGCTGCGTGGTGGGCTATGAGTCTGTGTCCAGTCTGGCCTCTCAGTGTGAAGGTGGAGTCATCTGCTGAGGCATATGGCAAACCACCACCCTTCCCTAGACTATCAACTATAGAGGGACACTTGTCTCCAAAGCCGTCCACACACCAAACTAGCCTGACCACTCCTGGATCCCTCTTGAAGAGACTCGTCCTGAAGAGCACTGACTCTGTGTTGTTTGTGATCTCCTTATTCAAAGATATAGGTCAGTGCCTAGCTCAGAGAACAGCTGTGTTGTCACAACACGCTCTGGCTCCAGGCCTGTACGCACTGTGCAAGGCGGCTTGGCCTAGTCAAAAAAAGGTAGAGTGGCTAACTAGCAGATGTCAGCTGTGGTGGGAGCAGTCCTCCTGTCCCACTCTGGCCAGGCTTCCCAACCCTTAATCTGTCCCCTCCCCCTTCTCCACCCTGGGGAGAGAAGTGAATGAGTTGGAAAAGAGGAGAGAGGGGAAAATTTTGGACTGAATCAGGTGTTTGGTGACGAAGCCAACATGGAGGTAATTAGCGGCTGTTATGTTATGACCATGTGATTAACTTACCGTTTCAAATCTCACTTTGCACCGTTGTCTTAAGAATATCACCAAAGTGTGAAGACTGATCTCATTGAAACAGTTAATAGACTTTATTTCTGGCATTGCGTTGCGTAGATGGATCTCTCTTGAAGGCTGTCTAGACTAACATCAGTGGTTTTTACTGACTGAAACATTGTGGTCTCAGACAGTTAGCCTACTGCTACTAGTCTACAATACTTAATCTATTATTGAGCAGCTTAGGAAGCTGAGCAACTCACTGAAAGCCTCCCCACAGCAGCCCAGTGCGACAGTCCATCTGAAACATTAATTAGACTCCCCTCCATCATACAATATCCTGAAACCACACCCAGTCCTCACACATACAAAATATAGGTCCCCAAAAATGCCTGTGTACATTTCAAATTTAAAGATTTTTAGTGCTTAAAAAAAAAAAAAAAATATATAAATATATATATATATATATATATATATATATATATATATATATATATATATATATATATATATATATATATAACTGCATATATTAAATTACTGAATAATCCATATTGCTATACTTATAAATAATTACAGAACATTTGTGTTTAAGACACACATATATGATTTTTAAAAATAATTCAATAATTACAATCTTTCTTAAAGTTTATGTTGTGCACAACAAGAAATAGTTGAATAGGATTAAACAAGGAATGTCAATCCAGAGCTGTTTTCAGATCTTCCCAAAGGTCTATTTAATTATCAGATCTATACTGCAGGACTTCCCAATGAACATTTTGTGTGTTCTTGGGCATTAATATTTGGGAAGACGACTTTTCTTGGCGTCGCTCTGGATTTCTCTGTTCCCATTTTCTTCTGTGTCCTAATCGCTTTCCCTGTTTGCCTGATGAAACCATTTCTCCATTTGGCAATGTTGCATCTTTTGATATTATTGTATATTCTGTTACCGGGTGCAAGACATCTTAATAGTTTGGCATTTCTGCTACTGAAATAAAGGCAAGATGGTTAGGAATGTAATGGCTTTGGGTATTTTTTTTTCAAGTCAATATTCATCTTAGTATTTTTTTTTTATCTTATTGGAAAAAAACAATACAAAATAAAACCATCAATAGTTAAAACCTCGTGGTGTTTCAAACTATCCAAACATTTTGGCTCGGTTTTACGCTGACATGTTTATTTTAGCTTATAAAAATGCTCCACAGAGTTTTATTAGACTCTTGGCTGAAGACAAATATTTCTGGGAGATTCCCTAGAAATAGATACTCAGTCCAACCCATACCATATATTTTAAAGATTTCTGTTAATTGTGTAGTATTACCATTGTTATAATAATTATTGAAATTCTGTTTATGTTGTTATAAATATAAATTCACATCCTTGTCTTTCCTGCACTTCCCACAACTATTTATTTTTTATTTTTTTTGCTTTTTCTAATTATGTTACTCACGTGAAATCCAATTTTTTATAGCATTTTTGCCTGACTCATGTTCTCAATTTTATTTAGCAGAGAGTTTGTTAAAGGTATCCACTCCGGGTGTGTCTAAGTTTATTCAGCAGTTCTAAACAGTAATGAAGAGCCATATAAATCGTTGTTGGAGCCATTTGTTGTCTTTGAATAAGGTTTAAAAATTGATCTGCAACTGAGATGACTTGACCGCCTTTATAAGCCACGAGCTGTTGACTTCCCTCATTTCTTAGTGACCTCATTCTGCCCTGTTGCGACTATACTGAGCTACTTCCAGTGAACACTTTCATTACTCTGACTTTAAAATATTTAAATCAGGTTAAGTCGCTCCCTTTTAATTACTTATTTTGGCTTTCCAGGGAAAGAATAGACAATATTTTATCTGCCATTGTTGGTTGCTCTGTATCTTTTAATTTTTAGAACAACTGGTTTCATCCAGACTGTTAAGAGCTCAACCACTGCTGCACATAAAGCCAACTAAGGCACTTTTATTTGTGCGGCAGTGGTACCGACTGCTAGGATATGCATACTTTAAAAGTAGGACAAAAACGAAAAGGAGGAAGAAAGAGCGGGGAAAAAGACATGAAGGCATGAAAACTGCATTAGGCGGTGGCAGCCAACACAGAGAGAAGGATGTGAATGATTCAGGAGGGAAAGGGATTAATAATGCAGGACTCCCCCTCTCCCTGTGTCCCAATGTCCCTCTCTTTCTCTCCTCCCTTCCCTTTCTCCATCTAACCTTCTGGATATTTTTTCCCCCCTGCATTCCCTTTACCATCTTCTGTCTTCACCTCTTATCTGTCTCTGACCTAACCAGTAGGGGGAGCTCTCCTCATCAAACCTGCCTAACTATTTTTTTTTTCTGTCCTGCCCTGCTTTTCACAGGTTTTGGTTTATGCAGCAGCCATTGCCTTGTTTCTCAAGCATATTTTATGAATTGAAATAGTGACAAAATGTTGCTTGTTTGAATTCCATCCCATTTTGTACATGTGGATAGATGGCTGATGTAAGGTGCCTGCCCTCGGGTCAACTGTGTGACTCCAATCAACACTTTTACCTTCTCCAGCTCATTGCACTGAGATAAGTCATGGTCAGAGAAGACCTGGTCGCAGGCAGGAAATGACGACCTAATTTAATCGCAACTTGGTGGCATCCCGTCAGGAGGCCTTTAATTTCCTACTTGTGTTGTTCTTCACTCTGGATCCCTCTACATCCTACAGGACAGAGCTCTAATGGGCAATATAACCCGGCTGTGTGACAATGCCATCGCCCTGGAATCATTCAAAGGCTCTGAGAGAGAGACCAACCCTCTCTACAAAGACTACCACGGTACAAACGCACACACACACACACTCGCTTATCTTTCAGTCTCTTTTCTATCGGATACACACACATGTACAGAGGCAGTGCATTAAAACCGGAGTTAGGCTGTGGATGGAGGCAGGGCAGCCCCCTTGCAGGCCAGGCTGTCAGTGTGCGTTAGCGTGCTGCTGCTCAATCAGACGTGCTCCTCAGTAGACAGGCCGGGGGGGATTCAGCTGCCACGCCGTACCCCCTCTCTCTCTCTCTCTCTCTCGCGCCCTCACCTCCCTCCATTCCTGCCTCACCGCCTCCCTCTCCCCCCCCCCTCCACCTCCAGCAGAGGCTCTCTCCCTCTCGCCTCGCCCATTCTCCATCCCCGGTCCCATACCCCTGAGGCTCTGGAGCAGCGCAGACCAACACTGGGGAATCGATATTCTCACCATCACTCTCTCTTCCTCTCTGCCTGCATCTCTCCATCCCTCGCTCAATGTCTCCGTGGCCAGCATGCTCTGCTAATAAATGGAGGGCAAAGCTTTCAGTGGAGAGACAGGACACCGGTAAGGAGACGTGTGGAGAGAAAGAAACCAAGGCAGGGGAGGGGAGGGCAGAGTTTGTTTCTGCTCTCCCGGTCCTCACCATCACTTTTTTTTTTTCAGCACAGTTTTATCATTTCTCTCCTTCTCCTCCCCGCTTTTCTCTTTTCTATCACTCTCCACACATAAAGGTCAGTATAAGTGAGGCCGGTATTTTTAGCAGTTCCTCCCAAACTCTCCCGTTCACTCTTTTGCTTTTCCTCGCATTCGGCCACCGTCCCTCAACCCTTTAGATTGTGACACGTAAAAACATTCAGTTTCAGATTTCGCATCCTCCTCCAGAACATTTCCCAGATTCTTTACAGCATTTTTTTAAACGCATTGTGCCTTGGTAAACAAGTTCTAGAAATCCGGAACTTGTTTTTGTGAGTTGTGCACCGCATCACTTTCTTAACTGCCTCCGAGTTGTGAAAGTGTCCGTTGGTGCTGATATTGCTTGATGTCCCTTTAAAATCTCATACTTTCCCTACTTAAATTCAGGTGCGGGCTTCTGAAACACATTTATGTGTATGACTGTTTTGATGTGTGTTGATGAGTGCCAACGCATCTGGTGCGAGTAGGAGAGTGCGTGTAGCTGTCGCGTGCATGTGTGTGTATGCGTGTTTGCGGCAGCAGTTCAGGGCTGCTCAAAGCATGCTGGGAAGCCTGTCACTGCAAATCAGGCAGAGGGAAATCACCCAAGTGCACAGAGGAGAGAACCCACCATCCCCCACTTTCTCTGTCTGCCTTCCTTTCTCCGTTTCTCCCTCGATCTTTTGCTTTTCTGTGTCACGCTTTTTTGTACCACCCCACTTCTACAGTGCTGTACAGTTTTATGGAAATGCCACTGTGCTGGAATGAAATAAAAAAGGGAAGTTCAAAGTATGAAAAAAATCCCACACCTCTTCCTCGTGTTATTACATGAGCCTATCTTTAAATTATGACAGTAATTGTTGGAGAAAATACCAGCTCTTCAGTTTTAAGGAAACAAGAGGAGAAAAGCAATGGGAACAATTAGTTGTGAATGACTTATTTCAAAAGTAAATTTTCTCGTTAGTTCTGTTAATTTCCTGTTTCTACAATGCTTTGTGCATTTGTGTAAAAGTCTTCCTCATTTTGTTTATGGAATTGCCAATCCACTTTATGCAACATTAAAGTAAAACTAAAAAAAACTCTTTTAGTTTCACATAATGTTCACTTAAAATCATCATTAATGTTCCTCTAAAAGACCAATTTTGTTGCATGTTAATTTAAAGTGAATTTTGGAGATTCAGTGTGTTAGTGTAAAACAAGTTCAGATTTTAATAATCAAAGTGAAACAAAAATTAATGTAATTTTTGTTGAGGAGTGTGTTTTACTTTTTGTCACATTTAATCTGATTCTCCTGTCCTTCGTAGGCCTGCTGTTTGTGCGCCAGGTGCCTCACCTGAACTGTCTGGCCAGGCAACTCCCTGACCACAAGGATCTGGCTTTTAAGCTCAAGAGAAAGCAGTTTACTATTGAGGTATGTTTCCAGCTTTAATCTTTGGCGCACTCTTATTTATTTTATTAATAATATCTATTAGTTGATATTTGTTCGTACTTTATGACTTAGCTTTACCCTGACTGTATTGCAAACTATATGTACCTCTTGAGGTTTTTCATCCACAAACTTCAGTGGATTATATTGGGATTTCAACAAACAGTAATGCAGAATAGTCAAGTGGAAGGAAAAAATATATGTGTATCTTTTTCATTTTACCACCAAAATCTGAAAATCTTACCACGCATATCTTTTCAGGCTCCTACACTCAATATTTTTGTAGATGCACCTTTTGTTAAAATTGCAGCTGAAACTCTTGGGGTCAGGGCCTGATGTCTGGCCCACTGACTTTTCAAAACAGGTCAAGCTCAGTCAGACTAGATGAAACGTCTGGCCACAAAATATAACTTTGATTTAGGTCTGGATTCTGACTGAGCCATTCTAGCACACAATTATCCTTATTTCTGCCACACATGCATTTGCACGAAAGCCAGAAAGTTCAGTTTTGATTTAATCTCACCAGAACTCCCAAACGATTACAGCGTCCCCTGCATATCCGGTGGCAAACTTTAAGATGTGAAGCTCTGCAGCTCCTCCAGACCGACCATTGCCACTGGATGTTGTTTCGGGTTATTAGAGTAAAGGTGACTTTTCATCAGATAGTTTTCACATTTTTATTTAAAAAAATAAATAAAATAAATGTTCCTCCCGTTGACCATTATGGACATTATTCTGGTAGTAATGTGTCAAAACCTGAAAATTCCCAGAAGATAAGATTTTTTTTTTTCTTTATGCACTCTATGTCCAAATGTATTGTTTTTTTTAATCAATATTTTTATGGTGGAATTTGTTTTCCTGTATTGAAACGGTAAGTAAAAAGATGTTTCACCCATGAGCAAAACTCCACCAAGCTGTGTTTACTTTGCTTTGCTATTGGGTGACTGAAGGAAGGTGAAACTATTGATTATGCACACTTGCTGGCACAGTTTCTTCAGTGTAAAGTCAAGAGGCAACAGAGTGAGAAAAATATCTATTTCCATAAATATGACAGTTGAAGTTCAGGTAAGTGGTATGTCTCACATTTTGATGCATGTAATTCTTATTAAGTCTCCAGGTGCCCTTATACATTCTTCCGTGTGGTTACTTTTCAAATGTTTAGTCACTTGGACTGTGAAGTGGCTCAACAATAAAACGAGCTGCGACAGCTTTGAGGGAAGTAAGTAATGTAATGTTAGTGTAGCTTCACCTGAAACTGTGCACTGCAAGCATTTACCAGTGGAAATCCAGTTTCACTGCCAGACACAGAGAGGTCACATATGGAACCAAAAAGTCAGTAAACATCGCCCTTCTTATATGCTTAGCATTTTCCATATTTTTTGAAAAGTTATTTTCAAAATTCAAATATAGTTTAAACTTATGAAAAATGTGAATTTCAGATGCCTATTTTGGACTCACCTTTTCGACATACATTTAGATTGTTGATTTCTCTTCCTCATTCACACTATTCCTCTCTCCAAAAGATACAAATCTGACACTGAACTGCTACTCTGGAGACAAATTAGGAGGCCCTGCACTTAGCTCAGGCTCATGATTGGTCCTCATTACATTATCATTACCTTATCACACCCTCTGCTCCTCGGCTCTTTAGTGAGTCCTATTGTCTCAGCCAGGATTTGAAGGGGAGGAGCGGAATGCCATCCCTACCCCCAAATTTCCACGGTCACCGTCCTCTCATTTTGTGACACCTTTGATGATATTTCTAATCCTTTCTTCTGTCTTAATTAACCCTCTCTCTTCATTTCATTGAATCCCCTAATGTGCTTCTTATTAAGTCAATGATTGTGTTTGTTTCTTTATTTTTCGACCAGAGCTAATCTTTCAAGACAAATGTCAAGATCTGTGCAATCTTCACCAAATGTTGCGTATTTTAGTAGCTTTGTGTATTTTTGGCGAGACAGAGTTATTGAGGGGTATGCTTGAAAGAAACAAGGAACAACATTATAACGTTTTAATGTTCATGAATGGTGAAATTTTAAATGGGTGGATAAATTTAAATATTATTAGCATTAAGGACATTATAGCGACAGTGTTCAGGAAGCCAATTACCGGTATTATATGTTTAAGCAATATTTTATCCAATACTGAAAGATTGGACTTTCCTTTCCAGTCCCTTTCTCAAAATTTTTCAAGACAAATTATTCGAGGCTCAGAGTTGGATTATCAAGATTGGTAATGGTAATAAAGTTTTTGAGTTTTCCTTTTCTATCAGGAAGTTGAATTACATTGATACTGAAATATGATATTTATATCTTTGCAAGTTTGGTAAGTCTAATGTAAAGCTCATATTATTACCAATGAATCAATCAGTTAATTCATTGATCTTTAAACATAAAGCCCCCTTGATAACACAAAGCCATATACATAAGATTGAAAAGGTATGAGGCCAAAATAAATGAAAAAATGAAAAACCTATGGGGAAAATAAGGCTACACAAAAATACTTTTCCAGCTAACAAAAGTGATATTAGTTTTAGACTAAAGGAATGTGATTGTGTTATTGATTATCAGTAGCCACAAAAATCTTACAAAGCTCCAGTCCTGAAAATATGTTAAAATTAAGATCACAAAAAGAAGAATAAATGAATAAAATGCTGTTTGAGGGCCTTAGCATTGCAGCTTTATGGCAGCATGCCACTCACTGTTCATAACGTACAATATATTTCAGCTGTATTTTATTTTATATATATATATATATATATATATATATTTCTGTGATATTGACTTTTTAAGTCAATACTGGAGCCTGTACAGCTCCAATATCCACTTAAACTTCAATTCATATCGTTTCCATCCGCTTGTACAGATGTAGTACTTTATACCAAGAGTGTCTAAATCCCGACTACCTTATAAATGGTCATATCTGGATATGATGTCAGCATTGAGACCATTACTAACAAAAATATTTGATCCTTCTGTAAGGATATGTTTACTGACTAAGTGAGAATCATATTCTGGCTCTGCTTTGACAAAGAAAATTAGTTCTACCAGCATGAGACGACAACCCAAAAATAGTTGTCATTGTTGACTCTGCACTCCGCACTTAATCAAACCTGTCAATCACAATCCCTGGCTATGACACATTCTTAGCTGTCTGGGAATTTCCCACAGGGTGTTGTATCCATAGTCACGCATCAAATTAGCTATAACATAGGTTTGTCATTGTGATACCCTATCATGTTGGTTGTTGTTATTGATTTGTACATCTACTGGGAAGTAAACATTAAAAAGGTTACAGAGACATATGCGACTGTGGGATCACAAGCTGGACTGCCGTTGGGTTAACAGCCGTATCGCTGGTCATCTCACTCTGTGGACAGCTGATTGACATATGAGATGACAGTTGAATTTGTTTGACAAGTCACCGCAGTGGTCATCATCTCATTTACTCAGGCTGTAAGACTCTTTTTTTTCCCCCTGAAGCCACAAGAGACAGCATCCCCTCCACTGTGCTTCATGTCCTGCTGAGATGGATGTAGGTTCAACTTTTAGTAGATTTTTCCTGTTGTGATATCAGCAAATCAGAGAGCTCGCAGCATTTGTTCTATGAGGAATAATATGTGGGTGGGTGGTGGTGCTGAATGACAGCTGATTGACAGGAACAGCTTCTCACCAGCTGGTTCAGGCAGCTGCATGCCATCCCAGCTACGTGTGGATTTGTGCTAGTAACTAATATCTTAACTGCTGCTTGACTCATCCCTCGATTGTCAAGCGCTTCAGGAATGAGGAGACAGAACACAGTTTTATTTAAATCGAATACATCTTTTTTTTGTTTTTTTTTTTAGTTATTAGGACTTGCCGCAATCCCACACTTGGCTCGTCAATGCTTTACTTTCTTGGTGTTGAGGTTGCTCCAGCAACACTTGACTTACTGAGAGTTCAAGCTACGGTTGATGAGCAGTTATTAGCCACGGCGCCTGAGGCCAGAATTAACCCATGGCCCTGTCTGAGCAGGTAGGGGAGTGTTAGGCGTTTGGACAGGATTAACACACACTCATTCACATATGCAAACATTTCTTGCTCTCACACATCGATATATTGACATTGATGCGACGACACATCCAAATTGCTTGCGCGAAAACAATTCTGTGTGACTCGCTCTGTGCGTGAGAGTTGTTCTAGTCACTCATTTTGCGCCGCCCAAGCTCTCGTCACACGTTCCACAAAGCAAGGTGCTTGAGGATGAAGCTCTGAAGAATGCAGATGGTACGCAATTACATTCTCTTTACCTTTGCTTGACCCTTTAAACTGACAGGCAATGTGCCTTTGGGGTACAGGGGTGCCAGAAGCAGGTCAAAGGGTCAACTACAGTGTAAGAAAGGGATTTGTGTCAAATTAGTCCTCTAATAGAGAACCTATTTGGAGGTGGTTTTAGTTGGACATGCAGTTCATGTCACTGAAGCTCTGTATGCTGCTCATAGGGATTGTTCAGCTCCCTGTAGATATAGACTGGTCCCAGTGTTATGGTATACCAAGTTTTTAATTTTTTATGGTTTCAAAACTTTTACAGTTCATTCATGCCCTTTTATTGAGATGCTGATGAAAGTGCTAGGGACCTGCACACAGTATTCAAGAAGAATAAGTTACATACTCTTGACTTTTGCCAGCAACAAAGACAAAATTTGCAGCTGCAGACCAAAGCGAAACCCTGACTAATTATCCAGGAAATATTTGCTTGTTTTATTCCCAGTGTTACTGAACTGGAGAGCTCCTTCAGTGTCAGACTGCTGCACCAAGTGCACAAAGGCGAATTATCAGTAGTTGTGCTGCCATCATCACATCACTGTTATTTGCACAGTTTTATTTTCACTTGTGGTAAATTGTCTGTTGTTATTTTTATGCACAATTTGTACATTTTTAAAAATGTCCCTGCTCAGATGCATATTTCTGGAATCTCCTGAAGCTATCTTTGTTACTGAACAGTATTTTTTTTTCTTATGCAACAAATTTGCCTATACT